ACTCTAAATAATTGTCGAATAAAACAGTGTCCTCTCTGCTGTATATGCGGTAACTTTCCACACACACAAAAAAAAAAAAAAAAAAAAAAAAAACCCAAACAAACAAACAAACAAACCACAAGCAGACAAACACACAAGTTTCCTAGTCAAATAAAGTTCCGTTCTAATTTCCTTGGATCCCAACGCCATAATCAGGTAGTTGAAAGTTGAAACCCATAACAAGTGAGAATCATTTTTCATAGGCTGCGTCTTTAAGTCTATAAATGGCATTTTTTTTCTTTCTCAAATTGTCCTATTAAAAGAAAAAATCTAGTTCTAACTACTTGTTTCAATTCAAGCTTCTAACTTACCGTCAAGCTTAATGAATTGAATTGAAGATAAGAGAAAAAAGCAGTCTTGAACATGAAATTTTTGGAAGTCGACCACCTAAAAAAGGAAATAGAAAAATGTAAATGATGGCCAGATTTACTCCCAGTTTCATACTATTGATATACATATAAGGAAAACGTGTACTATTTAGAATGTACCATAGTTTAATTAACTTGTTGAATCCTGAGTGTAGTTTCAACTACTAAATTAAATCAATTCGTTTGTCTAATAAGTTTGTTGAAGTTATTATGTGGCAAATGCTAGTATATATGTGCTTGAGTTCTTTTTTCCTTTATATAAATCCATCTTGTTCTAAAATAATTATCGTATCATTTCTTTAATTTTTTTAAAAATATATATTTATAGTGCTTTTATATAAATAATAATAATAATAAAACTTTTTGTTATATAATAATTAATTAAAATAGCATTCCACGTGTGTGGTGCAATGGCCACATACTGTCTTTTGGAGCAGGTTGTGGTTTGCATCTCATATTTCGGATTCAATACCCTCCTTACACACTAACACCTCTAACACACTAACACTTCTAACCATTATCATTTTAAAAAAAAATTAATTAAAATAAATAAAGAACAATGTTCGTGCAGTCGGCAAGATGCCAAGTGCACATAACATTTTTTTTATGATATATTCAACTGCTTCTCTATTTTAGAAAAATATCGTGCTGTATTAATTTGTTACAGTAGGAAATTATGAGTGCTATCATAAAAACAACCTCCAAAGGAAAATCATTGTGATTACTTATTTTTTGAAAACATAAAAATCTACCACAAAGTGTGAAAAACGTGAAAGTGCTTCGGGATCTAATAACTCGTTTCTAACTTCTAGTATTTAATAGAGTTCATCGAAAATTCAATTCTAATTAACTATTTAAATATTTATACTTGAATTACGAACCATTAGTGCTTCTCCGGCCATGAGCGTAATTACCTCTCTTTCCTATAATTGCCATTGTTGAGGTGGAAAAAAAAAATGCTGTACATTGTACGACAGAATATGCCAAAGCAACGTCGTACGGAATTTCAAAGGGAAAGCATTTTGTATTTGAATTTACCTTCATTAAAGTAATATAAATAAAGACTAGACAAAAAGGGGTCCATAGCTCAGTGGTAGAGCATTTGACTGCAGATCAAGAGGTCACCGGTTCGAACCCGGTTGGGCCCTTTGGAGTGTTTTTTTCCCCTTCACAAATCTAAACTCAATACAGCAAAACCAAGTAACCACCATCACGGCCCAAATCAAAGCCCAATCTAAGAAAACCAACCAAATAAATAAGCAAGAAGCTCTGGCTTACGTTGAGCCCATCACAGCCCAATTAGAGGAGTTGTTAATTTAATATGGCAAAAACCAATAGCCCCTGAATTTTTCCCGTTTTCTCACATAAGTCCTCAAAGGAAAAAAATGCCATGCAAGCCCTTGAATATTCCGAGCTTAGCAAATTAACACTAATATTAAGGGCAATAATTGCAATTCTTACATAATATTCTTTTGCCATATCAACACTTAGGTGGAAAAAGAATGCCATGAAAGAAAAACAAAAACAAAAAAAAAAAAGACCATTTAATTTATATGATAGATAGCACATAATAAGAATAGCTCTTCACGATCTCATGTCTGCCATTCCTTTACCCCCCCGAACCCCCGTCGGTGGTGCCCGTATCCCCCCCCTCCAACGCTGCCAAATATCCTGGCCCCTCCTCTCGATGTAGCCACCTTAGACAAGCTCTCTCCAACCCCTTCGTCCCCAGTTGTTGTTGCTGCACCAACATCTTTTCGAGAAACCTTGATAGATGGTGATGCTTCTCGTTTGTCCCCTTTAGTTACATACGAGGAGTTAGTAGCTGCAAATCAAACTCAAGATGCAGTGATTCCCATGATGGAAGACGTAGAGAACCCCCCAAAGGCCAAAATACCAAAAGTGAGGATTCCTAAATCAATTTGGGAACGCTTATGTGGCCCATGGAGGAATGCTGTGATAATTAAACTACTGGGGAAGATTGTGGATTTCCATCTTTTGCATGCTCGCTTACTCCGGCTATGGAGGATTGAAGGGGAATTTATGATGATAGATGTGGGACTTGGTTATTACATAGTCAAATTCTCAACACCACAAGATTGTTCTCTGGTATTGACTGGTGGCCCATATAAGATGTTTGATCATTATCTAGCAATGCAACCATGGGAGCCAAGTTTTCATCTTGCACGAGCCAAGGCCCTTAAGACTATAGCATGGATCAAGTTGTTTGGAGTCCTTATGCTCTGCTACGAGGAAGCCATTGTATTATATCTAGGCAGTAAGATTGGGAAGCCAATCGAAGTTGACCAAACCACTCTTCTTGCCACCAGAGGATAATTTGCTAGGGTGTGTGTAGAGTGGGCCTAAGCTAGCAATTGCCGTCTTCTATGGATCTAGACCTTGAAGAGTTGCCTCAATCTTTAATCCTGGTGGAGTATGAAGGTTTGCATAAGATTTGTTTTCATTGCTGTGAGTTCAGCCATAAGGAAGATTTTTGCCGTTTCAAGAATCCAAGACAGTCTCCTCCTATTCGGAACCCAAATGCCAAAGCCATGGTTGAATTGACTCCGACTTTGAAACCCAATATGACTGAGAATAGCATGGTGAATGGTCCATGGATGGTCCAACAAAGGAAGAATAGGCAGAAAGCTCACCAATGGCAATCTCAAGCTTCACTGTCAGCGGCGAATCAAGCCCCAAAAGTTACGGGGACCACTAACATTGTAAATGGAAACTCTGCTGATTCTGCAGTGAATGTGCAACGTGGAAGGAATGTGGGATGTCGTGAATTTGGAAGTAATCGTTTCGCAGCAATTGCGGATATTATTGAGGAGGAAACATATTGGATAAATTCAAATGCTGAAAAGGCGGTTAATGTTGGGGGAAGGGCTAATCCAATGGAAGCTTTAAGGCCATCTACCAACATAGTTATTACTCCCATTCCAAATTCTAAAGCCCAAATAGTAGCCCAAACTAAATCGGCTATAAGTCAAGCCGTTAACACCTCTTCATATCCACCACCTGCACCCACAACCTCATTTGTTAAGTCTAAATCCAAGAAATCCAAAAATAAGAACAAACTTGTGGGTCCAGTCCACAAAGAATCCAAAACACCAAACTAGAAGCCTTATGAAATTGCATTTGTCTCACGGAAACAACATGGAACTGATATCATGAATACGCCTCCAACACATACTGTAAACACCATCCCATTACCTCTCCCTCCAAGTAATGTGCAAACTCACGAGGCAAGGTCTAGTACTCTTACTACCCATCAAACGCCTCAAGCACCCACTACTTTAGATATGGGGTAGAGCTCAAGACAAGACATCATGTTGCAGGCTTTTCCATTTGGGATTGTTTGTAATGGATCACATGCTGCACTTGAAGCAGTCACCAAATTCACATCTTTATCTCCATGAAGATAGTCCCTTGGAATAGCCGTGGGGTTTGGTATGGACCTTTTCAAAGAGAATGTAAGGAATTGCTTAAGTTACATAAACCTGATGTAATATGTTTCCTTGAGACGAAAGTGGATTCTATTGAAAATGCTTTAAGCTTTACGAGACGCTTTGGTTAAGATCAGCAGCACCAAGTTCAGTCTCAAGGTAGGGCTGGTGGACTTTGGTTATTTTGGAAGTCTTTTTCGATCTGCATGTTTGTATTGTCTTCCTCTAATCAAGCAATTCATTGCTCATTGCCTCACCAATAGCTTTCTATTAGTATCTCATTTGTTTATGTACAATCTCATGATGATATGAAGAATTTGTTTTGGTCCCAATTACTTTCTAAAGCTGCTTCTTTAAATGGTGGTTGGATTGTGATGGGAGATTTTAATGACATATACTTTGTAGATGAAGTCTCCCCGAGGGCAGTGAGGGGTTTTACAAGGGCCCAACGATTCCAAGATCGTATTAGCAGTTGTGGTTTATTTTCTAAGGATTCCCTTGGTTGTAAATTCACTTGGGTACAAAGGAATAATGGGAGAGTAGTTTTTCGCGAGAAGTTGGATAGAGCTTTCTTTAACTTGGAAGCTCTTGAGCTTTGTCTAGAGGCTAAGCTTATCAACTTGCCCCATCTGTGCAGTGATCACCATCCTATCCTCCTTGCTATTGAGTCTCCAACCTTGGTGAATAAGAATGCCAGGCCTTTAAGGTTTGAAGCAGTTTGGTTAACAAATGACAGCTTTAAATCTATATTTTCATATGCTTGGGCTGCTCACAATTATTCCCTTCAAATGGCAATTGAATCTGTTAGAAAGGCTTGCTTCCAATGGAATAAGGATGACTTTGGTAATATTTTCCAGCGTATAAGGTGCCTCAAGGCTCGACTTATAGGAATCCAAAGTTCTTTGTCTTATGATCATTTCTTGCACCTACAGGCCTTGGAGGTAGAATTGCTAGAGGAATACCATAGAGCTTTGCATGTTGAGGAGCTATTTTGGTGTCAGAAGTCTCGAGTAGAATGGAGAGCATTTGGGGATCGTAACACTAGATTTTATCATGCCTCAATTGTTATTCGACAAGGTAGAAACAAAATATCTACCTTGAAGATTGGAGATTCATGGGTGACAGATCCAGCACTGCTTAAAGTCCATGTCCCTGCATTTTTTGTTGATTTATTTGCTTAAAGAGATACCCAGCCATATACCACTGATTACTCTGCACTCCAACCGCGACTCTCTATTAAAGAAAGTGATTCTATGTTGGTACAAGTAACTTTAGCAGAAGTACGATCAGCTTTATTCTCCATGAAGGGATTAAAAAGCCCTGGGCCAGGTGGTATCAAGCCTATTTTTTATTAAAAACATTGGGAGGTGGTTTCAGGTACATTACTTTCTTTTGTCAACAAAGCTCTTGCTGATGGATTTTTTGAGCCTTCATTGTTACAGGCACACATAGCATTGATTCCTAAAGGTGATAGTGTTGATGTTATTCAAAAATTTTGGCCTATCTCTTGCTCAATGCAGCTTACAAAATTCTGTCCAAAGTGATTGTGAATAGACTAAGACCTTTCCTTCAGAACTTGGTAGGTCCTTTTCAAAGTAGTTTGTTGGCAGGGTGTAGTTCAACCGATAATATAATTTTGACTCAAGAAGCAGTCCATTGTATGAAAAAAATGAGAGGAAAGAAAGGGGCTTTGGTGTTCAAGATTGATCTCCATAAAGCTTTTGATAGTGTGGATTGGAACTTCCTTAGAGAGGTTTTAATTGATTTCAATATCCCAGCACCATTAATCCGTTTGATCATGTTTTCAGTTACTTCTTTGAAACTTTTAGTGTTATGGACTGGTGAAGAATTACCTTATTTTCAGCCTCAACGGGGATTGAGACAAGGTGATCCTTTCTCACCATATCTGTTTATCATGGTGATGGAGAAATTATCACACATGATCTTACAGCGAGTGCAATCCAAACAATGGCAACCTATTCGGTTATCTAGAGGTGGTCTTGTTTTTTCACACTTGTTTTTTGCTGATGACTTGATGCTCTTTTGTAATGCTGCTCATACTAAAGTAAGTGTTGTAATGAACTGCCTTGTTGAGTTTACTGGTCGGTCAGGCCTTGATATTAATTTGGGGATATCCAAACTCTTTGTGTCCTCAAATATACAAGCACAAGTTACACGCTCTTTCAGTGCTTCGTGTGGCATACCTTTAACGAGTGATCTGGGTATTTATTCAAGAGTACCCATTTTCCATAGCCGGCATAGCAGTGCTTCATACAAGCATGTTCTTGAGAAGATGTAACTTAAGCTCACAGGCTGGAAACAAAAATTTTTGAGTTTGGCTGGTCGTAGGACACTATTGCAATCAGTGACTTCTTCCATTCTAGCATACACTATGCAGACTAGGTTGCTGCCAAAGGCCACTTGTGAAGCCATTGACAGGCTAAATAGACGGTTCTTATGGGGTTCATATATTTCTGCAAATAAACCCCATTTAGTAAGTTGGAATGATGTTTCTTTACCAAGGGCTTATGGCAGCCTTAGGTTACGGTTGGCCTATGAACACAACAAAGCTTTAATAGCAAAATTGGGGTGGCAGTTGTTTTTTGGACATAACAAACCATGGTGTCAGGTTTTTCAGTAGAAATACTTGTCAAATAAGTCGCTTTTTGACTGTCTCATGAAGCCATCTTCCTCAGTAACATGGCGAAGTATATTAAGATGCAGGGATGTTCTTCATTTGGGTGGCTGTTAGAGAGTAGGTTCTGGCAACTCAATAAATCTGTGGCAAGACATTTGGGTTGGTGATTCTAAACTCCAAGATGTTGTAGAGAACCCAATCCCACCAGACTTACTAGATTTTAAAGTTTCCAATATTATCTCCCCAAATCAAAGCTAAGATATCACCCGCTTACAGCATCTACTTCCCAACCACTTGCTTAATCTCATTGTAGCCATTCCACTCCCTATAGCTGGATCAGTTAATGATGGGGTTTATTGGCAGGGGTCTCTAAATGGTGAGTTTAGTGTCAAGTTTGCTTTCTTGTTAATTCAACAGGCTCGACTGAATGATTTATTGAATGGTATTCATTGGACTTGGATTTGGAAACTGGACTGTGCAGAGAGGATCAAAATGTTTGTTTGGCTTTTATTTAGGGGAGTTGTCCAAACAAATTCTGTATGCTTCACCCGACATCTAGCTTCAACACCAGTATGCCCACGTTGTGAGCAAGCATCAGAAACTCCCTTGCATGTCCTCAGGGATTGTTATCATGCCAAGCTAGTATGGGAGTATGCTGGTAATGTTCCTTCTAATTTTTTCACATTAGAGTTTGACAGATGGCTACATCAGAATGCTATGACATCAATCCGGATCACTTCGCAACAGACCTCTTGGTCTATCTTTTTTCTTTCACTGATTTGGTCTCTCTGGAAAAGTCAGAATCGACTTATATTTGAGGACAAGAGAGTCCCACATACAGTGGTTATGGATCAAGCACGTTCCTTAGCTTTGAACACACAGACAGCTCTTGCATTGAATGTTTTTTCCTCCCCTAAGCCTCCTAGATGGGTGCAATGGATACCACCTGTGTTTCCTTATGTGAAGTTAAATACAGATGGATCCATGGATCATTCTAATGGTCAAGCATGCACTGGAGGCTTGCTTTGAGACCAAAATGGTCGTTGGATACATGGCTTTGCAACACATATAGGCACTACCTCAAGCTTCATTGCCAAGCTTTGGGGTTGCCAAGATGGTTTACGCTTAGTTCTTTCGCTAGGAATTCATCAGTTGGTTTTGGAAATGGATTCCTTGCTTGCAGTTCAGATGATTCAAGTCAGGAAAATGACAGATGGATTGGCTTCAGTCTTGTTCTCAGATATCTTTTCAATGCTTAATTCCTTTGATTCTTGCATTGTGCAACATACACTTCAAGAGAGCAATTTTGCAGCGGACTTCATGGCTTCGTTGGGACACCATTTGTCGCATGGTACAATTTTCTATCAGGCTCCACCATCGGGCATAGAATTTATTCTCCAAGGA